ATCGTCGGAATCGATAACTTTTAATGTTTTTAATCGCCTAAACGTACTTAGTTGACATTTGTCCCTGTGAAATGATGCCTGAAATTAAAAAAAATCGGCCAAGTACAAGTCAGACACGCGTACCGAGGGTTCCGAACAAATCCGTAGGTATATAAGTTTGAAATTATTAAAAATATTTTTATTATATGATGTAACTAAAAATTTATGCTTTTCGCAATTTTTCCTTTATCTGTGCTATAATACGTTGCTTCGTACCAAATTTTAAGATTCTGAGTTCACGGGAAGTACCCTGTAGATTTTGAATCCCTTGCGAATGTGGAAAATTTGCGGCATCAACGACTGTATCTTTTGATTACGTAGGCTTAGAAGTTTGATTTTTTCACAGCTCCAAGGGACAGTATACTTGAGTATTTCATATGAATTTCAGCTTGATACCTCCCCATGCGTTCCTGAGAAAAAGGGTCTTGACGGACAACAAAGTGATATAAGGGTTCCGTTATTTCCTTTTGAGGTATGGAACCCTAAAAATGGACTTTCTTTACTCTTATTCTATAAATAAATGGAAATCGTAGGAGCAAGGTTAGACTAAAACGGTGGATAAAGGAAATTTCCAGTCGAAGCTCCTATTATATTGCGACTGTGCTTTGTGCATTGTGTGGACCAGCATCGACAAGGCTTGGTCATTTCATATCGAGCTTGTTTAAAGCAATTATTACCAAGTGATGAAAAATTGAAATTGAATTATAATGTACCACATGTCGACCATGCCGTCACAAGCTGCTTCTTTTAACTCAGTTTACGAATAGGACGTGATTAAGCTGCCTCCTCTAGCCCAACATAGCGACGAACGTTTTCGTCCATCATAATCATACTGAATGATTTCTTATATTTACGCGAACACTACACATTTAAATGAAACTAATTTTACGGACTTTATCGCGTATATTAACTTATTTTACATTCCCGACGCTTCAAGCACTTTACTGCACCCATGGTCACGGGGCGGACTGACTTTGTTTTATTTAAATAATCATACTGTTTCAGCCTATTGTAGTCCATTGCTGAACACAGGCCTATCCCACAGATTATCTCATATGTGAGATATTTACCATAGTTGCCATGCTTGGCAACTGCAGTTAATTTTTATGTTTAGTTGTTTTTAAGAAGACGCTGCTGCCCATCTCCTGGTTTGTTTTCCTCTTTCGCCTCTTACGATACCCACGGGACGATATGGGGAAGTAGTTGATCTTACTACTACACGGTGGACCATACAGGATCAATCAATCTAGCCAACATTATAAAACGGCAATTCATAGGTAAGGAACTTACGTTGCTTTCAATTTTCCTTACAATTTTTTTTTTTGCTGCCACTTAATAGAGAATCGTTTATGGTAGCAACTTTTTACCTACCGTTTTACCTACACCCGACAGTAAATACAAATTAGATTTGTAGACATACAAATCTAATTTGCTCATGTTCGATAAGGAAAATCGGGGGGATTCCGGGAAATTACATAATTTTAAATAGTTGCTCTTTTTATTAAGTCATGGCAAGTGCGATGCTAGTTTTATTTTTATTTTATAGTCAATATTTACCACATGGCAACACAACAATTAACGTTTGCTAACAGTCTCATTATTTTGTTCTTACAGTTTTAAATCCCTTGATCATAATAAATTTATATTTTACTTAATATTTCCCCTGTTATATTTTACCTTCTAACCTATTTTATACGTGGTAGAGCCACGGTGCAGCTATACTATGCTTGCAGCACGAATGGGTCGGCTCGACCGGGGCAAGACCACGCTCTTACAGAATATATCTTATAAAATAGTAGCTTAATGTTGCTGTGTTTCGCATAGTGAGTGTAGAGATCCGGAGACCCTTTTTACTGGAAATGAGGCATTCCATCTTAGTCACAAGTAAGGGGATGGTACCTATCCAGACGAAGTTCTAGGCAGAAAAGAAGTCCTAAGGTTAAATAACCAATTTTCATTGACGTAATCATGTACTAACTGTATTTTTATTTTGTATTTATTTTATGTTTTGAATATGGACCTACACTCCCGAATAAATCCGGTTTCCGAAAAGGCTGTAGCACCATAGACCACATACATACCCTTCGGCAAATTGTACAGAAGACCGAAGAGTACAATCTGCCACTTTGTCTTGCGTATGTGGACTATGAGAAAGCCTTTGATTCCGTCGAAATTTGGGCGATGCTACAGTCCCTCCAGCGGTGCCAAATGGACTGTCGGTATAACGAAGTGCTGAAGTGCTTGTACAGTAGGGCTACGATGGCTATCCGAGTACAGAACTCTGGTTCTGTGGAACTCTTACTCTGGTAAGAAACCTATCCAATTGCAGAGCGGTGTAATACAGGTTGACGTAATATCCACGCAACTCTTCACCGCTGCATTGGAAGACGTTTTCAAGCTTCTGAACTGGAAAGGATACGGAATACCGAAGGTGAGTGATGTACTCGCCATTGATGTTTAGCCATTGATGTAAATAAACATCAATGGCGAGTACATCACTCACCTTCGATTTGCCGACGATATAGTCCTTACGGTAGAATCGCTGGAGGACCTAAGCACTATGCTTAGTTTTAAGATGAACATGGACAAAACAAAAATCATGCTTAACGTCCATGTCACACCTATGCCGGTAGTTGTTGGGAGCAGTAAGCTCGAAGTTGTTGACGAATATGTTTATCTGGGGCAATTAGTTCGATTAGGTAAGTCCAACTTCGATCGAGAGGTCAATCGACGGACTCAACTTGGCTGGGCAGCGTTCGGGAGATTACGACATATCTTCTCGTTAGACATATCTCAGAACCTCAAAACTAGATTGTTCAACCAGTGCGTGTTGCCAGTGATGACCTACGGATCTGAGACGTGATCCTTCAGTGATGACCGTATGAGGAAGCTCAACGTCGCTCAGCGAGCTATGGAGAGGGCTATTTTCGACGTTTCTCTGCGTGATAGACTTAAAAACGAGGATATCCGCAGTAGAACCAGAGTAACCGACATAGCCCAAAGAATTAGTATGCTGAAGTGGCAATGGGCCGGCCATATAGCTCGAAGAATCGACAACGGATGGGGAAGAAAGGTTCTTGAGTGGCAGCCTCGTACCGACAGGAGAAGTGTAGGGCGTCCCCCCACTAGATGGAGTGACGACGTGGTAAGAAATGCAGGAAGTCGATGGATACAGGTGGCTCAGGATCGTGCTTTGTGGCATTATTTGGGGGAGGCCTATGTTCAGCAGTGGACTTGTGAAGGGCTGTAATGATGATGATATGGAACTAAACTGAATCTTACTAATAGGTATTTTATACAATTTTTTAAAATAGAAACATTACCATAAAGCACAAAAAATAATATGATCATCATTGTTTATTTAGTATGTTTTTTTTATTTTTATTAAATTTATTTAGAATGTATATAAATAAATAAAACTATGAATGTATTTTTTTTATAGGATAGGGTGACAAACGAGCACACAGTCCACCTGATGGTAAGTGGTTGCTGTGGCCCGACGAGAATACATCTACATGTATCCTCGTTTGCGAATGGCTTGGAAATGGCCCCGTGAGGGCTAAGATGAAATGCCTCTTTTACAGTAAAAAGGGTCTCCGGTTCTCTACACTCACCATACGAAACGCAGCAGCATTAAGCTGCTATTTTACGCTGGTATTCTGTGAGAGCGTGGTCCTTCCCCGGTCGAGCCGACCCATTCGTGCTACAACTATACTACTAATATGGCTGCAGCATGGCTCTACCACGTTCAATAATAAGTTTTCGTATAATTCGTATAATAAGAATAAATAAATAATATCGGATCCAGTATTGATCCTTGTGGATCACCCACGTATTCGCACAACTTAATTACTCACATCATCTTAACAAATCACATAATGTAGATACAAGTTAGAAATTACTGTTAACCTATACAAAAAATTAAAGCCTAAGTACTGTTGGGAACAGTCTTCGTTTAGTCATGTCTGACTTCACATATCTTCTAAATATTTTATTTTACAGACATATAGCGTTCTCAGCGGTAATGGAAAACGTCCACGATGTCTTCCATTACTGCTGAGAACGTGGTAAATCAAAGATCAAACTCGTGTTCCTTCCGTACTGTGAAATTTACTTAGACCACAGAATAAATAACAGTACAAGAGCTTCTCTGACGTAAGCCATCTACCATGGAAAATTTTAAATAATGTTTTGTTCTATTATTGAAATATTGTAATTGTTTAAACCAAATTATTGTATACTAAAATAAAACAATTTTATTTTTTGATTAATTATAAAGTTAAAACATTTGTACCTATATAATATTTCAGGCAATCCGAATGAGACATAATTTAGTTTTTCTAGAAGAGCAAGCAAGTACTTGAATTAAGAGCAACTTTTAAGATGTTTATTCTATATTGCAATCAAGCATTAGATGTAATGGATAATACGAGAAATTATTGACGCAAAGAAACGGTTAGCGATCACTTAACGAACGGTAATTAAAAAGCGATATATTATAAACGTCATCAATCAATCAATCATATTAATAAACAGCACTGGCAGGTTCGACGCATCTTTAACTCTTGTAAACATTAAACATACAATATTGCCACTAAAAAGCAGCCTCTATTACTATGGGATAAGATACATATCCATGAAAAAAAAATACTTCGTAGCAATGTGATAAGCTAGCGAGATGGCCATTTAATCGAGTGCAAGAACAAAAGGCTAACATAAAACGCTCAACGTTCTTGCGAGCCAGTCTGTTGGTTACTAATATAGGGACCTCAGGTACTGTGAGATAATAGAACACGAATATATTTAAATTTAAATACGACGAAGAAACACTTCGTATTCAATCAATTGTTAGACGAAAAGATTTTTGTGACTAATCGCAGACATTGGTCATAGCAAACAGGTTCAGCACTTAGTGTCTTGGCAGTTGATAAAATCAGTGGTTGAGTCCCATTTTAGTCAAGATGAAGAGTTTAGTTTTCATTTGCGCTATCCTAGTACAATGCTGCTGGAGTTATGGTAAGTACTCGATATGAATAAGTTATTAAATAACGTTACAAAAAATTTTAAATAGCTAGTAGATCAAAATAACCTTGTTGAATTTTGTTAGATTCAATAGATTGTTAGAAGAGACAATAATCGTAATAATCATTAATTAGTATCAACGAATTAATCGTTCGATATTTTCTTTATTGATGACTGTGGTGATTTACTTTTTTCCCCTTTTACTCTTTAATTCTTGAAATCGGTAAATAAATTAATAAAAAAAAAATATTTCAATTGCAATAGCTAATTTTTTGAGTATTAGTTTGAAATTATAATTTTTCTAAATTATTCCTAATCTTAAAAATATAAATATCAATGAAATAATGTATTATTTAATAATTTGTTAATAATTAGCATGTGTTATATTTGAGTAGCACAGCGGGATAACTACTCCATGTTGCCCTACACTTATGCGTAAATTGGTTATAACTTAGCTAATTTATTTCAAGATTAAAAAATTAATACATTTACCGTGTGGTGATAGCGTAAGCAAATCCTCGCCACATTTTGTGCCGTGGGTATCGTACGAAAAGACAATATTACATAAACAAAAGTTTTTTTTTTAATTCAATTAAAGATTATAAATAATACTTATTGAAAGTCCTCTTATGTTTAATTTACCACTGGTTGGGAAAACACCTCTATCCTGGGAAGAACCAGCTAGAATACCAGCGAGACATTTATTTGGAAAAAAGAACAGTTTACTATAATTAAAGTTACACAATAATTAACAACACAAAAGAAATTTAAAATAGCATGGTAGTGATCACCTCATTCCCCGGGGCTATTATCATCCATATAATCCTTCATATTTTAATAACCCTTTTGATACAATATTTGATTAATAAAGTTTTTAAACTTGACGGAGGTCAGATTTTCAAAATTATGACTTCGGCTCCTCTATAGGCGGCCTCTACATACCGTATCGTATTATTCTGGATGTAAAATATCCGAACAAGTGACGGGGAGCAGTGTCAAAGGCATGCCCCATTTACTTCTTTCCTAAATTTCTATTCAGTTTTATTAATACGTAAAGAGAAAATTTTCTACCACTTTTTGAGCACATTGCGTATTTGGTATAGTTGAATATTATAATTTATAACATGAAGAAGAAGTGTGAGTGAAGAGTGTACGTCAAGGCAAAGAAAGCATTTATTTTATATTTTGTGTATAAGATTGTCTGTGTTTTATTATTTGTTATTATGGCATGCTTAGTATACAAACTTAAATATTAACATGAATTACATTCGAATTTCTACCACTGGGGCGACTACTTCTAATACAATTTTTATCGCGTTTAATTTTAACTTTTTGTATTCCCGAAGTTTGGTCAGAACTGTACGGATGTTAAGTATTGACTAAAAAATTAGAAGTTAAAGAATTATTTTCCTCTAACTCCATTGTTGTAGAATCTGTTTTGTTACATTTTCGTTTACCTTTCGTTCGATGAAAGTGGTTATATTTTAGAATTATAATCTGACGTATCCATTACTTCCTTATTATGTTCCTATCTGTGCGGAGAATCTTGAGCTTTTGTCTGCTAAGTACGTAATTTGTTCAACGCTTTAATTCATATTAGCGGAGATTTAGTTCCAGCGTCGAGCTTCGACATACCAAAGACGCAATGTCTGGACGTATGATCACCAAATCTTCTTTTCCTATATTGTTTTTCTTTCGAGTCTTTAAGGATTGTCTGTATAAAATTTAGACAGACAATCCTCAACGATACATTTAATTTCTTTGTATAGGATTATTTGCGATGTTATTGTGAAATTAATACCTTTCGATAATTCTTTTAGTGTTGGTAAAAAAGTAATATTGTAAATAAAAATTAATTTTAAATTAATATTAACGAAAGTACTGTAAGTTCGTAGCCTTTGTTAACTATGACTTCAGAACGTCAAACACCTTTGTGATCATGGATGGTGTAAAGTGCCCAAAACGTCGGATATTAAATAAATTAAAGTTAAGCGCTATAAAATCCGTAAATTAGTTTTATTAAAATGTATGCATGTGAAGCGTGTTATTCCATTAAATCATCTTCCCTACTTTAATAGAGGGCCATATTTAACAATAGAATGTAAGGCTGAAAATAATTAGAAAAAGTAAAAACAAAATATATATTTCCATATTACCAACGTACATGCACACTAGTATGTTTCGCTTAATCACAAGAATTTATTAGTAAACACCAAATCCTTGACCTGAAATCAAGTTCAACGATCATGAACTTCAATTGCAGTGAACTTGGCCTCTTGTACTCAAGAGCACTTCCAATGTCGCCAGTGTTATTAGGTTATCGTGATATTTGTAATAATTACCCGCTAACAAACTTCTGACCTATTTCAACTTAATATGTGATATAAGCAAGTGGGATACGGGAAGTAAAGAATATGTAAGAACCTCCGAAGGAGGCGGAGTTATAGCCATAATAAGAATTTTTAATTTTTTGGTGTTTGATCATTTTAACTCCCTAGGAATGTAATGAGAACTTTTTGCCCCTATTCAACCATGACCCCCATGACATCCTCTACATGATAGAATATTCAAGCTGACTATGCCTAAAGTCGGAGCCACCCCCCATTTTTTGGTTTTTGGCCATTTTGACCCCCTAGGAGCGTAATGAGAACTTTTTGGCCCTATTCAACCATGACCCCCATGACATCTTCTACATGATAGGCTATTCAAACTGGCTATGTCTAAAGTCCGAGTCACACCCAAATTTTTGGTTTTTGGCCATTTTGACCCCCTAGTAGTGTAATGAGAACTTTTAGCCCCTATTCAACCATGACCCCCAGGACATCATCTACATGATAGAATATTCAAGCTGACTATGCCTAAAGTCGGAGCCACCCCCCATTTTTTTGGTTTTTGGCCATTTTGACCCCCTAGGAGTGTAATGAGAACTTTTTGACCCTATTCAACCATAACCCCATGACATCTTCTACATGATAGGCTATTCAAACTGACTATGTCTAAAGTCCGAGTCACACCCAATTTTTTGGTTTTTGGCCATTTTGACCCCCTAGTAGTGTAATGTGAACTTTTTGGCCCTATTCAACCATAACTCAATGACAATACATGATAGACTATTCAAACTGACTAGGCCTAAACTCTCCCGAACTCATTTCTAGTCTATACTTCCAATTACTTCCAATGATATAAAATATAATTTATAGTTCATAGATTACATATTTAATTCTAATGTTTTGTTCATATCTTAGTTCTCAGGGGTGATAACGCATTTCGATTTAAATTGAAGTTAGGCGTAAGTATTTAAAGTCTAGCACCCAATGAAGACTAATAATTTTCTGGTCACCAGATGTCGCTACTTGACACTAAGGTAAAGTTTTTGGTTACACAATATCATTTAATTGTGAAGTTAGTTTTTAATAAAAGTTTATCAGTTTCTAAAGTATTATATTAATTCACAAAACAATGTTAATTTTTTTGTGAATTATTGTACTTTACTTTTATGATTATCTGTGGTTTGGTTTATTTATTTTTAATCTCATTAATACAAAATATAAATAGTACAGAAAGAAACATTAAATTTTACATTTTCCGAGCAAATTATCCTCCCCGCTATGAAATCTGTCAAATATTATACCTCACTTTTAAGTGGCGCCGCCCTGGTGGCAGAAAAAGTCGTGGATGCCGCCATTACCATAAGATAAACGATGTACATATTCGATTGTAACCCTCACTCATATAAAAATGCTTGCCGTTACAAAAGAGAAAATAGAAATTGCATCTAAATTAGAAAATACAATTTTTAAATAAATCTTATTAAATTTATCTAAATTTTATCCATAGTTAAACACCTACTCATTAGAGATAGATATCTCTTTAAAAAAATTTTACCGTTACGTCGTTTCTTTATGCTGACACAGAATGTATAAATGTCGTTATTTCCATTTAAGTATGCCATAAACAAATTCTATTCTTTTCTCACACAAATTAATGCTTACAAACGCTGCGGGAAGATAATCTCGAATCTTGATTGATTTTTATAACTTAATCTAAAGCCCAACCTAGGCTCAGACGTGTGTGTGTGTGATCTGAAGTCTAATTATTTTATAACAATGATTAAAATGAAGTCATTACAATTTCTTCTTAAGTTTAAGGTAAATCTATGACTTGTACTTAAAAGTTATAAATCATTGATTAACCTTTAATTTAAGAACAAATTATTAACTTTTTTCGTAGAGAAAATCCCTATCAAATACCCTCGGGAGCAAGGACCATTAATATCGAGCTCACCAAATAAATTTCAACGGTATTCCACCTTGTCTATCGCAGGGTCAGAAATCTTTACACAAACATTCGCGACACCACTAGCTTGCCTGCCGGCCTTTTCTCGGGCGTCCTGTCTCTTGATCCTAGTCAGATAGGCCGTAACAAGGCATGGCTACACGGCTTACATCTCTTTCCGCGAAATGAAACACCTCCCCAAACCCACTTCACGAAGGAGTCAGGGTCAAGATAAAGAGTACTGCCAAACACCGGCCACTGAGAATCTGGCCGCTGGCTCTCCCGATGACCACTTTTCTGCTGTAAGTCAACGGTGGCCACTTCTCCCACGCAGACAAAGAACTCGCATCGAGAGTGGGCTCACCAATCCCACACAGAGCAGCTACCTCAAGCCGGCCCGCCTCCTCAGCCAACTATGTTTTAAGTCATTCCTAAATCTATGATTTAGAAATATACGAAAAACATGGACATTTTACATAATTAAGATATTGAAGTTAATTTATTATTTCTAAAATAATAGACATTAAATATATGCCTGATGAATTATATTTTTCCATTTTAATAATACAAGTTTTTAACATTTGATTTATAAGTCAATTAAGATGTGTCTTAACGATAATCTTAACGTAATTAAACATCGGCCAAGTGCAACTTTATATTAGTCATAAGTGCGCGAAGTCGTAGTTACAACTCTGGCGAATTTTTGTTATAGTTAATAA